GCTTCACCACCCCCACCCCCACCCCCCCACCACCCCCCCCCCCACCCCCCCAAAACAAAACAACTTGCACCTGGTCAATATGGAACATAATAATGACTTGAGATATCATGATCCTTTGATGGTATCTTTGACAATGATAATCATTGCTGATGTTGTCACACTGACTTAAGACTTTACTATGCTATTCATAAATTGTAAAATTTAGTGAACTACCTCAGAATTAAAGATTACCTGTCTATATCTACTCTAATTTCCAGAATAGCAATAGATTCACAGAAGAAATTCACATATCCATGACCAAGTTATATTCTAAAATAGACACCAGAATGTCTTACCAAACTACATATACATATATGCTTTCCAAATCAAGTTTTATATATATATATAAGTGTATAAAATTATTAATGTCAAAAGACAACCAGATAAGAGATCCTGTCATGCCTTATCATGCAGCCCCAAACTCTGAAAAATACTTATGCACTTATCTATGTAGATATGTACTCAACATAGTTCTTAAAATTGCCCAAGACCCAGTTCAGATTATTTAATTTACAACTACATGATTTAAAGCAGCCACTGAAATCCTCATCTTATCCAGAGGCATAAAAGTTCAGGCACACAACCAAAGGTAAGATCCACAAGCATCAGGCTCTCAAACAAGCTTTTAGGTTGTATGATATACTTTTGTAGATCTATTCCCAGATGCCCACTTATATTGACTCCCAAATGTCTCTGAAATTATAGCTTGATACAGCCAAATCAATATGGGGTCATCCATAAGGTGTCTTCAGAGCCAAACTGATAACAGAAAATTATAAAAGCATTAAAAACTCAAAACTTTTCATCAACTGGATTTCACCACTAAAACTAGTTTGACTGAAAATTAAAGTCCAGCATGTGATAGAGAGTGAAAGACTTCCTGCAGAAATGCAAGATTTAAGAGAACAGTGTTGAAAGTAGTAAGAAATAAAAAGTTTCATCAACGGTATGAGATGTGTGAAATACAACAATAGTTAAATAGGAGGGAAAAGGTAAAACACAGATGGCTTTTTGCTTCATTAGAGACACAAGAGAAAAACAGATAAGAGTGTGTAAAATAGGTGGCTAATGTGGGCAGTTTTAGAATCAAAGGGTGAGAACTGCCAGTCTTTCGGGAGAGGGAACATCTAATGTAGTCTGTAGAACTGCATTATTACAGGTATTGGTTTATTTATAACCTCATCTGTAATGTATCTCCTACCCAATAATTACCTTCCATAAAGCATAGTGGGAATCAACTTTATAGGAAATTTTTGCTTGGTATTACTACTGAACATGAGATGGCAAAGTTCTTATGCGTTAAAGAAGGATTTTAATGTCAAGGTTAGTAACTGGTACTCTGCATCTGGAGGAAATTCATGGAGTCTGTAGATGATAATATGGACGAAACAGCCCCATTTCATTATCCCATTCCAATACAACTGCAGTCAACAACAGATCCTCAAGATGCAGTTACATTTGTACCATGTGTATTATCCCTTGACACAACCACTGAAAAAAAAGAAAAGCAAACCATCAAACCTCATGATTTCCATAGTTTCCACTTTCAAAGGAGAGGAGAAAAAGTGACTGTCTCACTAAACTCCCAGCACAAAATTATACTGATTTTCCTAACATGAAGTAAGCATATTGTTTGCTCTTACTATTCATCAAACATTCTTTACTAAAGAAGGACTTGTTTATTGCCAGACAACTTGTTAAAGCTAGCAATGCTTACAGTAGAATAGTAGAGATACAATGCTTTGTCATGCCAAAAGCAGACAAATAATCAATCATGTTGCAATTAACAAGGAGAAATACCATTATCTTTACCAAGCTTTCTAGTTTTGCATTTCATAAACTAGATGGAAACCATACAGGAGAAAAATGTTAATAGAACAACGAATCTACAAGCCAAGGGTTGGATATTTAGCCCAGTAACCCAAAGTACAGATATTTATAAAGCTGACAGGCCTATCAGTACCTCATGTGGAAGGTGTTCTGATGATCAGAAAAACTGGTGGCTCTGCAAAGGTAACACATGATCACCTTCTTAATTAACTTTCTCATTCCTTTTATTAGTTTTTATATCCTGATGAGCTGCACACTACCACAGATAACCAAACCTTGTTCCACAAACAACAGTGAGGTTTCTCTAGATATTAAATGTTAGATATTCATGAATTCATTTAGCAGAAACATTTTAATAAACTGGGTGGAAAAAAAGTAAATTTGTAAAATTATTTTCTTTGTGCTTTTGTGTCTTAAGCAAGTTCTTTAATGTTGTGGTTTTGTTCAGTTACTGATTTGCAAAACTATGTGCAACTTGAGATTGCACATACTTTAAAGTTATTAAGTCTCAAATTATGCAAGCATACGTACCATGTAATATTTGCAAGAAATTATCTCATCAGGTTTTTTAATTTTTATTTGCAGTACTTACATAAAACTGATAGTACATAAGCAAACTAATCCACTTATAAAACCTAAATTATGCTTTCAGGCTGTTACTTTAATTTTAAAACACAGTTGGTGCCAGGTTAATAGTGACTTTAGTCAGCATAATTCTCTCACTATCATTCTGTGGATTCCCTGCAAGAAGGGATTATTGTGTAGCCTACAGCCCACCAAAGAATGTGGTTTGATATCTAACTGTCAAGCTAGAATTTGCAATCACAGTAATTAGTAGTGACTGAACTTTTACATGCTAAGCATGAGTGTGCTCCTCAAAATTGCTGAAATGGAAACCTGGAAGGAGAATTGGGAAAAAAATCTGAGACATTTCCTGATATCAGTACACTGCTATGCTATGGCAAAGTTATTCACAGTATCATAATCTGGTCACTACAATTTCTTCCATGATTCACATGTCTACTTTGTGATAGCCACGTCGATCATTCTCAGAGAAGACCTCCCAGACAAACTAAGAAACACAGTTTTGTGTATAGCATATATCATGACTACTGCTGAAGGATATGAATTGGCAGACTAATTAGTCAAAAATTTCCATGTACTTTTGACATGACGGACTAGGACAGAGGAACCCTGCACAACAAATAGGGCATTTGCTCCCAAAGCCTATATATTTTGATGAAATCTATTGCATATGAATCCTCTTAGAGGCACTGTTGCTCAAGATTTTTTGTGATACTTCTTTTCTGCCTAATAAAATTGTTTCTGTATCTTTGAACATGTTGGCCTACAGGTACCTTGGAATATCTTCTAAATAACAGTGTCAATATGTAGGAGCTCTCTGGAAAGAAATGTTAAACGCAGTGAGGATTTTTAGAGGGTTTATTTTGCTTTTGCTCTTTTTGCTGTGTAGGAAGGAACAATACCCTTGCACCATTAAATATACAGAGTAAACCAGTCTCAAAGTTTATACAAAGAGATATCTGTATTGCATTGCACAAGGGAAAGCAGTTTTTGGAGAGCAAATATCTACTACTGTCTAAAGAAAGTAAGTTTACTAGCAACATCTCAAACTGGGTATCTCAAAAGCAGAACCTCCCCAAACACTAGCCACTCCTACAAAATTTGTCTGGGATCTTTTGTTGCTAGGCACAAATCTTGTAGTTAAAACTTTCACATTCCAGGCTGTATTTCTGGAAACAGTTCAACAAAGATCTAAATCTATTTCCACCCTGAAAATTTATTTTTTGTGCCTATGGGTAGCTTTGAATTCAAAATTGTATTTCTGTTAATTGATCTCTGGAACAGAAAAACCTCTCAAAAAAATCAGCGCTTGCTCAGCACTTCCTAGTTCCACTGTTAGTTTTTAAATTCCATTCTAAAGGAATATGTAAAGAGGAATGCAGACACACAAGTTCTTCACTGCAAAACGTTGCCACTCCCTTTATTTATACCACAACTGCTAATGGTACAATTCTTCAAGTCACGTTTTCTGGCACACCCAAAATGTTAGCATGAAAAGACTAGGTACTAACTAGTCAAGAAGGAAAGGGGAAAGCATTCAGAAAGAGCTGCTGATTTTTTTTACATAGGAAGTACTCAACTTTTGTTTAGCCTCTAAGGAATCAAGTGTTGAAGATTTCTTGATTTTTATAAATCACAGCATAGGGTTTCCATTTAAAAGGAATCTAAGAGAAGGAAGAGAAATAGATAACCCTTGGTATTTCCCTGTCCACCATATCCCTATATGCAAGAACATAGATAACATGCCATATACAATCATATATACCACAACAATTGCTTACTTGCATGTAATTTCTGAGGTACATTGGGAATATCTATTAATGCTGGTATTTTCAGAAATATAATCTTCACTCATCAGAAATCCAATTTGTGTCTGTTGATCTCAGGATAGGAAAGTACATCATGGAAACATGAGACATTAGTTACCTTGCACCTAAAAGTCTACATAGCCTGGAACATAGAAACTCACAACATGGAAGTAGCCAATAACCTAGAAAACCACATAGCTTTAATGCAACATCTAAACTACTGAAAAATATACTATTCTTTCAGCTGTATTTTGGTGGGACTTGTGTCAGAGCCTAACCCCTAAAGGTTTCAAACCTGCAACTTGTAACAGAAGTGTTTGCCTTTTGCAGCTCAGGCATTCAGACCTCCTAAAGGTCTGAAATTAAAGTCATAGAATCATAGAATGGTTTGGATTGGAAGGGACCTTAAAGATCATGTAGTTCTAATTCCTCTGCCATGGGCATGGACACCTTCTACTAGATCAGGTTTATCAAAGCCCCATCCAGCCTGAGCTCCAACATTTCAGGAATGGGGCATCTGCAACCTCTCTGGGCAACCTGTTCCAGTGTCTCACCACACTCACAGTAAGCTAATTATTTCTTATATCAAATATAAATCTGACTTCTTTCAGTTTAAAACCGTTACCCCTTGTCCTACCACTATACTCCCTGATAGAGTCACTCCCCATCTTTCCTGTAGCCCCCTTTAAGTACTGGAAGGCTGCTATAAGTTCTCTCTGGAGTCTTTTCTTCAGGCTGAACCACCCCAATTCTCTCACCCTGTCCTCATAGGGGAGGTGCTCCAGCACCCTGAACATCTTTGTGTCCCTCCTCTAGACCCACTTGAGCAAGTCCAGGTCTTTCTTATGTTGGGGGCCCCATAGCTGTACACAGTACTCCAGGTGGGGTCTCATGAGATCAGAGTAGAGGGGGAGATTCACCTCCCTCCACCTGCTCATCATGCTTCTTTTGATGTAGCTCAGGATACTGTTGGCTTTCTCAGCTACAAGCACACTTTGCCAGGTCACATTAAGCTTCTTATCAACCAACACCCAGGACTTGGGGTCCTTCTCCTCAGGGATACTCTCAGTCCATTCTCTGCCCAGCCTGTATTTGTGCTTGGGATTGCCCTGACCCATGTGCAGCACCTTGCACTTGGCCTTGTGGAGCTTCATGAGGTTCACACAGGCCCACCTCTCAAACCTGTCAAGGTCCCTCTGGATGGCACATCCCTTCCCTCCAGCCTGTTGACCACAACACTCAGCTCACAGTATCTGTAACATCCGATGAATTTCTTAACACCTAGCTCAATATCTGACTGACTATTGTTGTATGCTGACTGCTGTAAAATTCATTCTTATTCATCTATGTTATGCATTGCGTAGGGGGCTGAGTTGTTTAATATGGGATTGTGAATTCAGTGACAAATTCTCTAAAGGTTTACACATCACAGTAATTTTCTAGATCCCATCCAAATTGCTCAAAATCTTGCTAAGTACATAATATTTCCCATTTCCTCTTTGCCTTTATTTTTCCTAAAGCATGTTTGTTTTCAGGACACAGACTGAATTTCCACTAATTTAAATCTACAGAAATTTTTACTTGTGTTTCTGATAAATGCATTTTTACAGACAGAAAAAATAGATAAGTTTAAGACACTCAGTGATACCAGGAGCTGAAGGGATACTTAAATATATGAAAAACATGCTTAACACAAAAATTATGGAATTAGCATAAAGAAAAAAAAGTGTGTCAAACTATTGTAGTTCTGATATTATCAATACTATTATGGAAGTATTGGTATTGAATTATAAAACAAATTCACATGGTTTATACAGAGAAATTTTAAATTCAACATACAAAAAAACTAAAATAAGAAATAAATAAAATATTAAAATGGTCTGCTGGATCACTACTTCATTACTTGGGTACTACTCAACTAACCAACTAACCAGCATAACCAGAACTGGAATACCCTGCATGGTAGGGAAAAAAGATTAGTAAGAAGGGAAGAAAACCAAAATATTTTGCATGGATCCCTCTTGCCTTTGGTGTTTTCAGCTCAAAACCAGTGATTTAAAGCAGTTATAACTGGACAGACTCTTAGCAGAAGCATTCAAGTGTCTGTGTACTCCATAAAAATAGTAAAGTATGCTACTCAGTAGAAATGACTACGTGTAAGCAAGAAAGTTTGCAGGTTTGCAGGTTTTATTAGCTCAGTTCTTATGCCATGCTAAAGCAGTAAGACTCTTCTACACTTAATTTGATCTTGAAGACATCATGGCTGCATTTGCACAATGCTTAATCTGACTTAACCAGAGCAGCTTGATGTCACTGCATCATGGTTGCTTTACAAAACAGTTAATCCACCCACAAATAAGAATTGACTGTTTAAGCTATAGAGAAATAAGCTGTAGGTTGACCCTTTGTAACTGGAACTGAAGTGTTAGATTCTTTTGGCAAACTAAATACGCACATCAGTTATATTTATTGAAAGATACAGTAGAAAATAAGTTAAAGTGTGAATTTACAGCAGTTCTAAGTTTAGTACAGAGATCTTCACAAAGACAAGAGGACTGCTGATTTTCTTCTCTGAGAGAAAGAAAGCCCATTTAACAATAAAGTAAAATAGATTTTTTTTTCTTTTTAGACAATATTTCATTAAGAACTTGAATGGGTCTGTCTGCAATCCTTTACACTTCTGCATTGCTACATAGAAGAAAGAAAAACAGGTGTTTCCTAGGCTTGTTATTTGTGTGTTATTCTAATACTACTCACACAAGCAATTTGTTTTAGGAGGCATATTATTCATAGCTTGACTACCACATTACAGTTGTGTGAAGAAAATTGCAACACACAAACCCCCTTAACCTCCATTAGTCTTCGGCTGTATGGAATGCATTTTAACCTGTCAAATCTTGTGTTCCACTGCTCTAAGATCAAGCCATATGTAATATTCATCAGTTTAAATAATGTCGGAGACAAACACTATTCACAGCAACTTCCTCAAACACTGAAAGAAGTAGCTGCTGTTGAATATTATAATACCATTTGTTATCTATCTCAGCAACAGAAAGAGTTCATTATTGGACAAATTAGTTTCTAAGTTACTGATGCTGACTCATAAATAATTAGAATCAGCAGAACTGTTCCCAAGCATTTTTCTGCTGTGCTTTTGCATACAGTATCTGGTTGGAATGGGTAAAAATTATATATTTCAGGAAACATTTTTCCTCCATATATATGTTTCTATTGCATTTACTGCAAGCTGTATAAGCTTCATTTACAAGATCGTGTTGATCTTGTAAATGAAACTGAGGGAGACATAACTTTCCTTAGTATCTCAAAAGTTTCTAATGACAACTCATGTTTTACGAAGCTTGTAGTTCTGCAAATACTACTACTTTGAATGAACAGCAACTACTACTTTGAATGAACAGCATAAAGATGCTGTAGGCAGGTTCAGTACATGCTGCAGTATGTTATCCGGTAGTTAAAAATGGTAACACACCAGAATAAGGTGTGGAGTCTTCCTTCAGTAAAAAAACAGCCTTAAACAAATAAAAACATTACCTTGTCTACAGTCACAAACTGCTATGTTACCTTTGATAAGGACTCCTATCTGCTAATAAATTCTCTGCTGATCTAGAAGCAATTTAATCTGGAACTACTGTCCTAGCTAACAAATGTTGTTACACCCCAGTGGAACAGCTGCTCCTACACCTCAATTTAGATGGAGTTAGGGTGAGGATGTAGGAATAGAGCCAGTAAGCCATGGTGGGTAGATTAAGGTTGAGAGGCAAAGAAGCAAAAACTTCTGAGAAGTCACAACATATTTTTTTTAGACCGCTGTAAGGAGAAAAACTTGTATGACTACCTGTATAATCTTCCATGTCAAAGTCAAATACACTCGTGATAAAACCTATGAAAACTGCTAAAAATGATATTCTAAATCAGTTCTATGTTTTCATAACTGCTGTCTGCCTGCTAAACATTTTTTAACCTCTCTTACACTTTCACTGCAAAATAGAGAAGAAATTGAATTTTCACAATGAACCAAATTAAAACTTAGTAGCTATCATGGCATTGATCCTACTTTTCTTACTTCATTGTTATTAAATATTTACCATCTACTTCTGGAATTTTGCACTGTAATGACTGCTATTTTTCAGAACCTCCCACTGTTTTGTACTGTGCATGAGGTTGGAAGAAAGCAGTAAAGGCTAGTATTTCTCTCACTACATATACAAATTTTCTCAATATGTTCAGTGGTACAATACTCTCTCCATCTCAGAAATAGAATAACAGGCTTTATGTACCATACATGTTAGGTATATCACCTCACTCTGCCTATAAAGTGCAAGAGTGCACAGATGATAGGAGGCTATCCACAACTGGAAATCAGTTTGTGGAAAATACAAAATACATTCTCATCCCTGCAAAGAATGATTTTATTACAAATCATTGCTAATAACTTCTAGTTGTGTTTGAAATATCGTATGCTCTAGAATTGTTACATCTCACTTCAGTCACAGCAGTGATAAAGAAAGGTACTTAAACAGGCTATAAACATATTGTAGAAGTCAGGTAGAAATGAAATAGACTTCTTCTATTCATTGTTCTGGTAAAATGTGATCTAAAGCACATTAAATCCACAAGCAGTTCGTTAACTTTGGATCTAGCCACTTAGGCAGTAAGGCGTAACCATTCCTTTGCATGAAGACTATTAGCATATGTAAGTCTCAAGATAAGCTTCTATTTTTAATGTTTTACTACAATTTATTGAAGATGCTGCATACTGAGTATTTTGCTCCAGCTAAGAAATTTAGTAGCTACTTGACTATATTCAATCTGTTTTGTGCCTCCATTGGCATTAAATATTTACCTTCCACTTCTGACAATTCAGCATTTTAATGAACACTTTCAAGTTTTCCCTGCTAACTCCCACTGTCTTACATCATGAAGTCTGAAAGTAGTAGCAAAGGTTAGTATTTCCCCCATCACACAGAAAATTATATTCATATTAGATAAACTGATGTAGAAATGGTACTTTCATATAATTAGGTCTCACATGACTTTAAAACACACATAAAACTCCCAAAGAAAAACAAAGTAGCAGAATGACAGATAAAAAAAATTATTTCTTCTCAATTTTAAAGCGTATACCATGATTCTTACTTTAAAGTAATTTTAAATTTGATCATTTCAAAGTAGCCATTATGAAGGAATAACCAGGTCTAAAGATCCCCTTTTCTCTCTGGAGCTGATAACCTGTGGTAGAGTCAATTTCAAAGAAAGAGGTTTCTGTATTTCCTGTGTAGGTGAGAGTAGAGGAGATGTGAAACTTATTCACTGAGCAAATGCCACCCCTCACACCATGTACAGTTTACCTACTCGCAAAATGTTACTTCAGACTACACCTAGATTTTTTAGTTCAGTCCTCCTAAACCAGAGGGTTAGAGGTGATTTGCACAGAGGGAGACAAAGAAATAGAATGGAGCTCAAGATATGACCTTAAACTAAGCTGGTTGAAGTTTTCAAAACCCAGTGAAAAAAACCCCAAGCAGAACTGGAAATTCAGAACAAATATCCCATACAAATAGTAGAAGTCATCAGTATATGAAAATATCATGTTTGGGAAGAGACAAAAGGTAGCCTAAAATGGAGAGGGTTCTGCCTTAGTTTTTGTTTTCTTGCACTGGGGCAGCAAAACATGTACAAACAAATAAACATTCCAGATGGCTAAGGCAAGCATACTCATTCCTAATAGATTCAAGACATTGCTTAATACAAACTTTACTCTTGCAGAAGCAGAATTATCCCTGCAATAGTGCCAAGGTCAGTGAAAGCATAAGTTGCCTGCTGTGAAAGTATCATTGCACCATCTAGAACAGCCCAGGAGATGCACACTAGGTAAGCATCCCTGTTCACATTAAGCCACCTCTGTTGATAAATTATACTTGTGTAGACAGTAGAAGAATCTTAACAAGAGCACAATTACATGGAAGTTGAGCAATAATTGGGCATAACTAATTCATAAACAGACAACATATACATCATGGTTTTGTTTGTCAAATCTTGCCATCTGTTGCATATGTTGTAAGTAGAAAAATCAACAAAAAGGAGCTGATTTTTCCCCTACAGTGATCAAATTCTTTTGAATTTTTCTGTCTCTTTTCAGGTTGTAATACACAGAAGTTCATTGACTTAAGGCCATTTTGCAAGTTTCTGACAGCCAAGAAACAATGAAAAATAGGATTATATTCTGAAAGTATGCCAAGCATTTGAAAACAATTAAAAAAAATAAAATGCCTCTTTTCTTCTGAAGTATTTTATTCAGATTTTTTTCCAAACATCTTTTAAACCATAGACCTGCTACACTAAGAAACAAGTACCTTATAAAACTCTTAGTAACATTTGTTTTACTTGGTGGCAGAAAAAGAATTCTCTAGTGAGCAGATAAATACAAAAAGCAAAGTTGTTTTCCAAGACTCCCATATTCAAGAAGACAAAAATAGGACAGTGATGTCCTTATAACCTTTTAATTATTCATTTTTTAAAAATCACTGATTAGCAGAATGTGACACCAAATCTATTTACAACTTCATACAAAATGAATTTTGTAAAGATGAGCATCTTGCCATGATTCTCCTATACTTTGGAGAATACTTTAAAATTTATAATTAAAACTATAAATATTTATACAATGAGAGTTCATATATGCATATGTATGTATGCACACATACATAAACACATACACACACACACAAAATAATTCTTATGAATGCAGGTGGCAGCATGTAAAAGGCATGCAAGCAGACATGTTTCCTTTACCCTTTGCTTCTGGCAAACACTAGGAAAATTAAGTCAGATGGAGGGAAAAGCACAGGATAAAATATTATTAAATTTCATATGAAAGTGATGGCCTAGGGCTTTAAGCTGAGAATTCAGGAATAGGATGTTGAGGCTGTAATATATCTGGTTTTGACTGTACCATCTCATTACTTATTAGTAACTAAAAAGCAAATAGAATTAGAAAGAGTTACATATTGACAAAGAACATTATTGTACCAATGAGTATTTGAATGGCATCCTCAAATTTCACAGTTTTGGACCTGCCACATGGGGCTAAATGAGTCAATATAGGAGTTTTAAGTCTCATAGCCAGGCATCACTAATGGGCAAGCCTATCTGTTTACAGAACCAGATTGTATTCACAGTGTCTCTTTTTGGTGTCTACTTCTCCAGTAACTGATCAGTGAAAAGCTGTAAACAAAACCATCTGCTAGTGTCAATACTTTTTCCTAACCAGGTAACCACTTTCTCTGAATTAATTGCTGCTCAGTTCCTTATAATGTGATTTTTCAAAGGGAATGAAGTGGTTAGGATGGAAAGCTCAACAAATTATGGCTTCCAACTTCCTTTACAGACAGCAAAACCATGTTTTAGGCAAGGTAATCTATGACAATATTTCCATCTACAACTATCAAGTGTATAATGTTAATGTTTCATAGGCCTTGGTTTCACAAAGAGTTTAAAGGGCAGACTCAATCTTCAGCCTTGTGTTAAAACAGCCACGCTGTAGCCTGAAATGACTGGTGCTTCTGGTCAAGTTTAACAGATTGATTTATGAAGTGTTATAACGCAGCTGCACTCCTATTAAATCATAATGGGATTTTCAATCATGTTAATCCATCTTTATTGATAAAGTTTGGTTTCTGAAAGAAAATGGTTTCCTCTAGTAAACAAGATCTTTAGATAAAAGCATCCTTAAGGAAAACTCAGTATTTTTAACACCATCACTTAGCAATAACATAAACAATATCTTCCATCAAACTTTTCCTAACCAGACTGGAGGATTGCATGCTTGAGGCATACTGAAGGTTAGGTTAGCTTCTGTTTTTCCAAGATGTTTGGCACATTACACTTGTCTATCTGCAGAGACATTGAGACATTAAAGTCTGTTATTGCATTCACATTCCACAAAAAAATGGAATAAACCAGTTTACACTTAAAGTTCTTTTGCAGTCAGTACCTGCTGTAGCCTTAACCAACAGCTAAGTAGGCACAATCTACACAGCATGATACACTTACATCAAGTGGTCCTGATAGCCCAAATGGTTACATGCAATAAACCACTGTTTATACACACATTTATACATACAAGAGTGTCTGAATAAAGGTTCTTAGAGGCAGAAAAGTAGGTGAACTGCTGTTCTGAGTACAGTAGGCAAACCCATCCTATTTCAGTCATCAATGCCATTGTAAGAATTTTTACTTTAAAAATACTTCAGTTATCACCCTCTAATATCTGAATTTCTAGTGGGTTAGCAATGAGTTAAAATAAAAAAAAAAGCTATAGTTCAGGGGTGTGTGTGTAGTATTTATATTCAAAGAAAACAGAATATTTCTATACCTCCATAAGGATTAATATGTGTAAGCATAACATTTTATTTCATAGCTTTTTTGTTGTGCTAGCAAAACTGCCCCTAAAATATATTTTACTAAGAAATACCTTCAAGGCATTAGGTTCCTTATGGTATACTTCATATGCTTCAAAAGAATTACATATAGGATGAATGTGGTCCATAATATCTGCCACTGGCATTGTTTACCTCCAGGTGGAATTGAATTCCCTAAACTGAAAAGCAACGTAACAGTAATGCAATATATGTGAAATCAGGTCATTTGACATCTACGAGTATATGAAATGATAAAACATTGGGACATTATTAAAAAACACCCTTAAAATTACTAGATGCACAAATTAGTCATATTTTTTGTGTTAAATAAACATGAATTTTAATAGCTTTGAAAAACAATAATGTCACTTCTTTCATGCTGTCTTACTGTTTTATCATTACAGGTCCTAAGCTTTTGTGTTTATTATTTTCTAAGGCATATTATTGTGTGCAAATATATCAACATATACCATAACGTTGATATCTGATACTTTTATTAAGACTTTTAAAAATAAATACTTTATATACATTCATACACTCTTCCGAAACAGTCTATTATCTTTATTCTTCCAAGAAGAGAGTAGGAGTTGTATATTGGCAGGACCACATTACTGCTGCAGTCAGTTTAGGATCAGGAAAATTGTAATTTTTAAAATACATATTGATAGTTCTTGCTAGCCTTACTTTTTAAATAACAAAGATGTTTCTAAAATTAGGAGTTCATGAAAAGGAGACTGCATCAAGAATTTACTACCTTCTAATTTCTATTTTTAAGCAACAAAATTAACGGCAACACTAATTTATTTTAGCCCCCACATTCACATTCTGGTAATGAAACACTTGACAAAGTGAGACATGCTGAAAACAGAATCACACATTAAGGCTAGAAGCAACTTAATAGTTTTCTTCTACAAAAATAAGGAGATGCAGTTGTCAGGGATGGATTCTTTATCTTTCTGTGAGGCCTGTTGCTTGACTCATGCTTCCCTTCAGAAAACATAAATATCAGATCCAGGAAAAGCGAGGAGATAGCACTTTTCAAGTATGACTATCAGTGAAATTAATCCATATGGAAGCAGAAAGAACTAGACTATCATAGCTGTAACATGGAATTTCCCCCTGAAACCACCTGTAGATTAATAAATGAAATCTGTTTCAAACAGAAGCAGAAGAGAATGAATGAAAAAGAAATTTAGGTTCCTAAGAAACTGTTCCAAAGGGGATGGGAAGGTGAAGAGTGTGAGGGCTGGAAGCTGTTCCACTGGCAAGAATGGGGGAGAGCACAGACTCTCAGGAAAGAAAAAAATAATTAAAAAAAAAAAAAAGTTTAGGAGTGCAACAGAAACATCTGAATCTTTTCATAAATGCTGAGTATGTCAGATCATAGGAAGTCTTGATAGTAAGATCAGGTCCTTGGTCTTGTTCATTTCTTAAGGATTTATTTCCCTCAAGGGTGGGTTGTTGTTTGGTTGTTTGTTTGTTTGTTTGCTGTTTCCCTTTCCTTAAAAAAGCAACAAATTTATAGTTTTTGCTTCCTTCTTTAGTGACTTTTAAGGAAACGATGTCTGGAGTTTAAAATTAGTTTGAGTTCAGCACATGAAAGGCCATTAGATACTATCTGAAATATTTTCATTTACCTCTTCTTCCATCTCTATACATACTAACTAAAAGTGGAAGAGGAAAAAAAAAAATATCCCTATGTACTGGCCAATGGAAATCAAAGTCTTTGTTTTACTGGTTGTAACACGTGCAGGAGTAGGGTACAGGATAAACACCCAAGCCAGTTCAGGTCTTCTTTTGAACATAGAACTGGTATTTCTGAGGTTAGATAAGTGTGCAATGAAAATGCAGTAGGAACTGTGTGGGGGACTGTGTTTGCTTTTAAAGAAGTCAAAATGCTCTCTCCCATGCCTAGTGGAGGGACATGAGGCTTCCAGCTCACATGCTGTTGTGCATAGCATTGTGCAAGCCTTTCAGTCAGACTCTATTCCTCACTTGGAGTGTATTGCTTTAAAGAACAACTGTATGTCACATCTCAACTCTCCTCAGAGGAGCAAGAATGATGCCGAGGGGTGAATAGCTTTAGACTAGCACCATCAACTCCATAGTGACTGTGGTTTGTCATTATCATGGAAAGCATGATCTAGAAAGAGTACTATGATGTTAGCCATGCCAATACTTCAGGGCTCTCCCTATCACAGCTTCAGTCACTCCTCTGAGCACTCCAGCACTGCATGAACAATCCAAACTCACATCAAAACAACAGCATCAGAGTGTCTCACAGCAGTAGAAAACCAATAGCACTGAATGACTTATTCTTCAACAGTAATTGCAAAATCATTTTAAAATGAGATCAGAATTGCTGCAGCTATTCTTGAGTTTCTCTGATTCTCTTTATTCAATTCCTGTGGTTACCCAGGAAGCATGAGAGTAACAACAGACATATGGAATGAAGTCAGTGAGGTTTTCTTCAGATTCTACTGGGGGCAAAACCAACTAAACATGTTTAGCAGATGTAGCTGATACAGTGTCACTATATCTGAATATAACTTCTTAAATCTCAGGAAAAATAATTAAAAGTAGCCCTAAGGACTTGGTATGAAAGTAATTCAAATACAAACTCAGAATTCACAATAACCAGGATGATCTTCAGTCAAAGTACAGCCCCAAACATTTCTGACAAGACTTTAGCCACCATCACCCCTATGTGAAAACTTTCTTGAAAAAGTACTTCACTGTTCATATAAGCTATGTATAGAAAAAAAGAATTATTCAGATGTATGGAGAGCACATCAAATATTTACACTGTGTTGAACAATTTCCTCTGGGTAAGAGTTGTGGTCAGTGAACTACAATAGCTAATCTGCTATAAAGATTGTTTATGCCCCAATGGATCATAAGCTGACTACAGCTACTCCTCCAGTAGAACTTGAGAGAAACAGAAGAACAGCTGCTACCAGGGTAGAAAAGCTTTCCTTGAATGTATAAAAAGCATATGTTTTCCTGAGAAGTGTCTAACTTCAAATATATCTGATATTCCATCACAATCCTACCTTAAAAAGTACAAGGCAACGTTTCCTGCTGCAGTATTTCTCATTGGTATCACATAGTATCAAGTATCACATAGGACTGTATTTTATGTTGTTTAGGCATCATTGTGCACTACTTGTTAACAATAAAAAATCTGATGCTGATGCTCTAGAATGAGAAAAGTTTCCCTCTCCATCCTTGCAAAAGAAGATACTCAAACATCAATTTCTCTATTAATTTGTCACTATAAAAGTGAGTCCAAAACCACTGTCAAAGCTAATATTATGATACTTTTTCCACAGTTTTTCCTCATTCCATAAATAATTATAGAAACATAGCTTAAAATGCTTCAGTACAATAGCTACAATACCAACAACATAAAGCAAGCACCCTTCGTGGTGCCCCTTCGCAACAGATATGGGGCCCTGGAACTTGTGAATGAAACAGAGAAGGAAGAAGAAAATGAGCCAAATAAGGAGGAAGACAAAGGTCCACCAAGGCCGGGTCATGATAGACCAGGTATTAAAATCAATTCTAAAAAGAACACCAGAAGGGTCATTATAGTGGGTGACTCCATTCTGAGGGGTGTCAAAGGCCTAATATGAAGACCAGACCCATTTCATAGGGAATTTTTCTGCCATCCTGGGGCCCGGGTAAAGGATCTCACTGTAAAACTCCTCACTCTAATGAGACCTCAGGACTAGCACCCTCTCATCGATTTTCAGGTGGGTAGCAATGATATTACCAGAAGTATAAAATCAATGAACAGAGATTTCAGGGCCTTGGAGAAACAGCTTAAGGGGTCAGGGACACAAATAGTGTTCTCCTCCACCCCTTCAGTTGCAGGGATGGATGAGGAAGTTTACAGGAGACCTCAACAGATGAACTTGTGGCTCTGAGACTGGTATAACTGACAGGGCTTTGGATTTTTCAATTACTGGTTAGTATACAGGATGCCAGACCTTTTGGCATCAAATGGGATACACCTGTCCCAGACAGGGAAAAGGATCTTGGGGTAGGAGTTAGCTGGTCTTATTGAGAGAGCTTTACACTATATTTGAAGGGGGAAGGGGACAAAGCTGGAACTCCCAGATATAAGCCCAAGGGAAGGTTACCACAGTCTGTGGGCTGTTGTGCCAGCAATGACCCTCACCCTGCCATCCCAGTGGAGCCAAGGAATGGAGACATGTAGCACAACAAAGATGCAAGGGATATTGATGGATCAGTAACTGGTAGCACCTGTGAAAGGTCAGGCTGGAATTAGGACCTCTAAATGAAAAAGGTGCTGGGGACATCAGCCCATCTGAAGTGCGTGTATACCAATGCACACAGCATGGGTAACAAACAGGAGGAGCTTGAAGCTGGGATAAAACAGGAAAATTATGATGTAGTGGCTATCACAGAAACATGGTGGGATGTGTCCCATGACTGGAGTGTGACAGTTGATGGCTACAAGCTCTTTAGAAGGGATTGAAAAGGGAGGAGAGGCAGTGGAGTTGTGCTGCATGTTAGGGACTGTTATGATTGCTTTGAGTAGTGTAGTGAAGACAGGGTGGAGTGTCTTTGTGTTAGGAGGAATGCCAACAGGGCAGATGTCGTAATGGGAGTCTACTACAGGCCACCCAGTCAGGACAGAGAGGTGGATGAAATATTCTATAGGCACTTAGAAATTTCACAATCGCTTGCCCTTGTTCTTGTGGGAGACTTTAACTTCCCAGACATCTGCTGGAAATACAACACAGCAGAGCAGGACCAGTCCTGGAGATTCCTGGAATGTGTGGGAGATAACGTCCTGATACAGCTGGTGAGTGAACTGACCAGAGAAGGTGCCCTGCTGGACCTCCTCTTTGTGAGCAGAGAAGGACTGGTGGATGATGTGGTGGTTGGAGGCCAACCAGGGCACAGTAATCATGAAATAATATAGTATTCTTAGAGAGACCACGAGAGGGGACAACAGAACTGACATTCTGGACTTCCAAAGGGCTGACTTTGATTCGTTTAGGCACCTGTTTGACAGAATCCCTTGGGAGAGGGTCCTGAAGGGTATAAGGTAGGACACTCTTTAAGAAGGAAATCTTAATGGCACAGGAATGGGCTGTCCCCACGTATTCTAAGAGAAGCCTGTGCCAGAGAAGACCACCCTGGCTGAATAGGGAGCTTTGGTTGCAACTCAGGGAGAAAAGGAGAGTTTACGGCCTTTAGAAGAAGGGGTTAGCCACTCACAGTGATTACAAAGATGCTGTGAGGCAATTCAGGGCAGAAATCAGGAGGTCTTAAAGCCCAGCTAGAAATTAATCTGGCTTCAGCACTCAAGGATAACAAGTAATTTTCCTATAAGTATGTCAACAGCAAAAGAAAGACAAGGAAGAGCCTCCATCCCCTGCTGGACACAGGATAAAATATGGCAATGAGTGATGAGGAAAAGGCTGAGGTGCTTAATGCCTTCTTCACCTCAGTCTTTAATAACAAGACTAGTTTTATTGAGGGAATCCGGCCTCCTCAGACACAAGACAGAGAATGAGACAACACTCCCGCCACAATCCAGGAGAACACAGTCAGTGACCTGCTGCATCACACAGACACACACAAGTCTATGGGACCGGATGGGATACACCCGAGGGTGCTGAAGGAGCTGGCTGGGGGGCTCACCAGGCCACTTTCCATATTTTCCAGCAGTCCTGGCTGACTGGGGAGGTCCTGACAGATTGGAAATCAGTCAAAGTGACGCCCATATATATAAAAAAGGTCAAAAGGATGATCTGGAAAATTACAGGCCTGTCAGCTTGACTTCGGTGCCCAGGAAGCTGATGGAGCAGCTCATCCTGAGTACCATCACACAACACATGTGGGACAACCAGATGCTCAGGCCCAGTCAGCATGGGTTTATGAAAGGCAGGTCCTGCTTGACAAACCTGATCTCCTTCTATGACAGGGCGACCTGGTTATTGGATGAGGGAAAGGCTGTGGATGTTGTTTACCTTGACTTTAGCAAGGCATTTGACACCATTTCCCACAGAATTCTCCTGGTGAAACTGGCTGCTCGAGGCTTGGATGAACACACACTTTGCTGGGTAAAAAACTGTTTGGATGGCCGGGCCCAAAGAGTTGTGGTGAACGGAGTTAAATCCAGCCAGTGGCTAGTCATGAGTGGTGTCCCCCAGGGCTCAGTTTTGGGGCCACTCCTGTTTCACATCTTTATTGATGATCTAGACAAGGGGATCGAGTGCCCCCTCAGTCAGTTTGCAGATGACACCCAGTTGGGTGGGAGTGTTGATCTGCTCGAGGGTAGGGAGGCTCTGCAGAGAGACCTGGACAGGCTGGAGCCATGGGCTGAGCCCAACTGGAGGAGTTTCAATGAGGCCAAATGCTGGGGGCTGCCCTTGGGCCACAACAACCCCCAGCAGCGCTACAGGCTTGGGGAGGAGTGGCTGGAGAGCTGCCAGTCAGAGAGGGACCTGGGGGTGCTGATTGACAGCCGGCTGAACAGGAGCCAGCAGTGTGCCCAGGGGGCCAAGAAGGCCAATGGCATCCTGGCTTGTGTCAGCAATAGCGTGGCCAGCAGGGACAGGGAAGGGATCTGACCCCTGGACTCGGCACTGGTGAGGCCGCCCCTCAATTCCTGTGTTCAGTTTTGGGCCCCTCACTACAAAAAGGACATTGAATGACTCGAGCGTGTCCAGAGAAGGGCAACGGAGCTGGTGCAGGGTCTGGAGCACAGGTCGTACGGGGAGCGGCTGAGGGAACTGGGGGTGTTTAGTCTGGAGAAGAGGAGGCTGAGGGGAGACCTCATCGCCCTCTACAGCTCCCTGAAAGGAGGGTGCAGAGAGCTGGGGATGAGTCTCTTTAACCAAGTAACAAGAGACAGGACAAGAGATAATGGCTTCAAATTGCACCAGGGAGGGTTTAGACTGGATATTAGGAAGCATTTCATTACAGAATGTGGTGTTAGGTGTTGGAACGGGCTGCTCAGGGCAGTGGTGGAGTCCACATCCCTGGAGGTGTTTAAGAGTTGTGTTGATGTAACGCTGAGGGATATGGTGTAGCTGGGAATGGTCAGTGTTATATTAATGGTTTGACTAGATGAACTTCAAAGTCTTTTCCAACCTTGATGATTCTCTGATTCTGTAATTGACATAAATTTTTAAAATAATGTCACAAAAATTAATTTTAGAAGGAGACTGTCTGACAGAATACTTAAAAAGCCATCTACATTTTTCACCTACAGAATTAAACAAAAGTATCACTTTCAATTTCTTAATCATTCTCTTAGTGCTGTATATGAATTTTAGCTATTAATAAAGTATTCTTTCTCCCAACAAAATCTTATAAAGAACAACTAAAGAGTAATTAAAAGAACAGAGGTTCAGTGAACACTATCTAGTTCATTTTTTCAGCTCATAGATTATTTCCACTTTGTAATCTTGAGACAGTATTTCAGTTACTCAAGATCTCCTGCATATCTGTAGAGATGTTAACTTGACTAGACTACTCTTCTAATGCAATCCATGCAAGTCCTCCCATCAAACACAGAGCTGTGCAGAGCTGATTGCAGAATACCAGTCAAGTAAAACTCACTGGCTGAGATTTGTGAAAACACATTACTCTTAAAAGAAAAAGCAAAGCTTCAGACAAACATACATCTGAGCACAGAAATCTAATGAATATCCTTCATGTTATTTAATGACAGTAGTTTAAGCTATACTGTTATCCTAAAGTAATCATATACACATCTTGCTTATCTTCTATTAATCCATAAAACAAAATGGGACTATATGAACAAAAATATCCCATCAACAAGAGGATCCATGAGAAGAAAATTTAAAAGTAATGTAAGTATGGAAAGAGTGTCTACCACTGTTATAATCAATTAAAATTAAACAAGCAGATTATACATGTTCCTCTGTATACTCAGGTAGATTTTTGTGTCATCACTCTGATCACGTTTTATCACATTCCATAAGATTTCCATTGCCTCACATCCACTTATTTTGTATAATTCATTATTTTGTACCTAAGATACTTTAAGCTCTTTCAAGAGAGCAAAATCATGAGACATAAAAGGACTAAGTGGTCTTTGCTGACCACCTGTAAAGTAAATATAATGTTTAAAAATGCAATTTGATATTAAGAGTCATTTGTGACCTAAATTGCTATTAATACGGTTTGGTAGCAGCTTCAATGACTATCTGTAGTCATAGCCTGAAAACAGGCAATTTTAAGCATGAAGGGACCTAAACTCTTCCTGTGTTCTGCCTTTAGGATTTAGGATTGAGGATGAAGTGTCACACAAACACTGTCCTTTTCATCTATTAAATTGCTAGATATATAGTTCAGGCTGTGGATTACCACAAACCTTCCCTGCCCAAGGAGACATACATCCACACTTCTAAACTCCAAGGGTGTTCTCACTGAGTTACAAAGTCTGAG